GGGCTATTCACAAAAGGGTGAAGAGTTTGGAGAATGCAGGAGTAGTGAATTGTCTAGGACAGCTCCATGCTCTCTTGTCATGAGATGACGAGGGAGCATGAAGCCAGCTTCCTGGCCAATCAGAAAGCAGGGCGTCGCGTCATTAGACGGCGCCCGGCTTCCTGATTGGACGGCTCCGGCTGGGTACCGGACGAAGGCCGCATTCTCGCTGGAGAGGCCCCGGAGGTGACAGGCTGCACATACTAAGCTAAGGTAACCTTACCTCACGAGGCCAGCTTCCTGATTGGCCAGCTTCCCGACCAATTAGGAAGCCAGGCAGCGCGTCATTACACGCTGACCGGCTTCCTGATTGGACGGGAAGTCGGCTCCACGCTCTCTCATCACAAGTGACGAGAGAGCATGGAGCCGCTTCCCGGTCAATCGCGAAACCGGGCAGCGTGTAATGACGCGCTGCCCGACTTCCTGATACCGGGAGTACTCGTGCTAGGAATCTGGGCATTTGGGCGAGTAGGAGTACTTGCCCAAATACTCGGAATCGGCACCGATATCGATACTAGTATCGGTATCGGTGCATCCCTAATACACGCTATACATAGCATAAAGGTAAAAAAACGATATATGCCGTGTTATCTTCATTTTAGATGTCAAAAGGGTTTTGTGGCTCCCGGTGTTTTCTTCTCTGTGGGAAACGGGTCCAAATGGCTCTTTGAGTGTTTAAGGTTGATCAGCAAATCACCTATTTTGGCCTAGATTGTTCACTTCTCCTGCCTTCTCCAAACCCTTCACCCTTTCGTGAATAACCCTGAATGACTCTGCATCTATGTGCAATATATTTACTGTTGTTGTTCTATGGTCAACAGACAAAATTAAATAGACAGCAAATTACTTATTTGTAATTTTTTTGGAAATAGCTTTTCCAATCTAACGATAACCTGGGATGCTTTTTTCAGAGAACTCTGCAATTGTGATTTTTGCACATGGCAAGTGTTTTAAACTTTATGATCTTGACTATGGTGAGGAATGACACACTGGTTTCCTGGATGTTGCCTAGATGCTTACTGGACCCTTCAAGCTGAACTCCAGTCACAAAAACTATTATTGAAATATAGTCCTTAACGACCACAAAGGATAGAAATCCATTTCGTGTGCAACAAATGGCTTTACAAACCCAGATATTACCATATAATTGTAGCAGAGACATCATAGCACTGTAGGAGTGACCCAGCAAGCTCCATCCACTACAGGCTGCCTGCAGAAAACTGCAGGAGTAGATGAAAACAAGACCAGTCACTCTGCAGAGAGAGAGCAGCAGTGACTGGTCTTCATTACAGGAAGTGCCTACACAAAGTTAAAGTTTTGCAAACAAAGAGTTAACAAAGAGTGGCCCATGCATAAAGCCTAGAAATTGGAGCAGATCCTGCTACATATTGACAAAGGGAACACAAGCACCTTTGCTGATTGGAAGTGATCTGCTCCATTTTCTATGTTGCTGCAGGCACATAACAGAAAG